AAAAAAAAAAAAAAAAAAGATGTAAGAATTAAAATGGTGAGAGCAATAGTCCCCAGTTATAGAATTGATATAAAGATTAAAAGAACTAATAAAAGAATTAAAACAGTGTTTGACTCATAGAATTAATATGACAATCTAAGCACCAAAGCACTTAAAGACTGCCACATAGCTCAGTAAGTTCCCACCTAACAAGTATAATGTGGGGGTAGCTAGCACACTTCCTGGGTGAGGCACTCAACTACAACTCAAATTTTACCTTACAAATGCAAACAACATAACCTAATCATATATACCTTCATATTAACCTCAATTTTTTTAAGTTAAAGCCTTACATTTCTAAAAGTATTATGACCTTAACAAACGAAATTGTAGAAATAATAAGCCTGAAAAATCTAATGATAGATTAAAGTATCACATTAATGGACCATTTTGTATTATGTAAAATTATAGTACCAAAAATATGCTTGTAAGTTTATTTTGTTACTTATTGTATCACAATTGCCCATATTATTTCATAAGTAATAAATTATTTTTAAAGAAAAAAAGAGATTGTCATATAGCAAACATTTATACACACACACCAGTCTCTTAAATAGGATATCTTAAAAAGTAGGGGGATAGTTGTCTTCACATGGGTTTTGTGAAGGGGAAAGTATAAAGGCTATTCAAGTACAAGACTAGAAAATTGCTCTTCAAGTACAAGACGTTACTATCAATGTGAGTCCACCTACTCTAGGACCACTTTTATGGGGTATGTCTTGGGTAACCTTTAGGGTTCAACTGGTTTCTAAATTAGCTGATGTGCAAACCCTCATAACAGCCCTTGTAGTGTAGTGGGTGCTCAAAAAATATTTGTTCCCTTCATTTTGCATCACTCCTTCCTGAACCTCAGTTTACTAGTGAGTGTCCATGGATATTAATAACCACACCATTATTTTGCCTTTACTCTTCCAACAGAGATTTCCTGGGGACCAAGGAGGCATCACTGCTGCTGATGGCCATGTTCCTCCTTGCCGTATTCTACCACGGACAGCAGGTAATCTGACATTTTGCTCTAACTGCTCCCAGGTAGCTGGTTATTTCCTGTTGCCATAAAACTGGCCAAAAAAGCTTTGATTGTTCTTTGCAGCCAGTGAGAATTAGCTGCTTGCAGGAAGTGGTGGTTTTTAATGAATCAATTCCTAATAAAGACCACTTAATGAAAAACTAGGCTGGAGAAGATGACTTGGCCAACAATGTGGTTTTAATGCCCTCTAGGTACATCTCTTTCAAAGAGATCATTGTCCTAATTTAAAAAATAAATAAATAAGCCTTTGATTGCTGCGTGGGGCAAACTGGGATCCCTCCCAATTCTGTTGCCTGGATAAAATTGCAACTATAGAAGATGTGTGCTGTATTAGGTAAAAGTTCAGGTCTGAGAGTCAGCTGATTCTGGATTCCAATCCCAGCTCTTGCTCTCAGCAGTACATGGCTTGGCCTAATATTTGTCTCCTTGAGTCTCAGTTTCCCAAACGCTAAAATAAAGTAGCAATTCCTAAATAGATCTGTTTTGAAGAATCATTTGTGTGGTGCCTTGAAAGTATACAGGAAAACCTTCATTACTGATTTATCTTAATTAGATAAAATGCCTGCCATATTGATTCTACTGTCTCTGAGCTCTACTCTTTAGTAGGGTCTAGAAAGGTCACTGTGGGCATTACTGTATAAAACCCACTCCTGGTCCAGTCTTCTGGAGAAAATTGGGCTCTAAATAATGCGAAACTCCTATATATGGAGGATATTTGTCCAGAAGTTAGAGAAAGGAGATTATTCTGGATGAAAGCATCCTGGTAGGCTTCACCCAGGAGGCCTTCCCTGCTCTCAAACCAGTAGGACTTCTTCAGGTAGGCTCCAATCCATGAAGTTCATCACCTGGGGAGATTTAACCCCTTCTTAGAAACCAGTCCCTGCCAGCCTCACCCATCTACCCATCTGCTCTGGATCCCAGTCTATCTTTCTTTGGTCTGTGTGCACTTCAAAAAGCATAACCAGAAAAGGAGGAAATCAAAACAAGAAGACTGTCAGCCAGAGCTGACAGAAATAGAAACGTATCACTCAAAGTCACCATGGAAACAGGGAGGTAATGCAAACAGGGATGAAACAGCCAAAACCCCCAAGAACTTTTATATGTAAAGTTATTTGTAAAAAAGGATGGCAAAACGCAGTTGACAGAAAGACTGAATTAGAAAATTGGCAAGTGAAGGAAATAGGGGAGAGTTAACATTTATTGAGTTCCTACTACACGCCTAGCACTTTCCCTCTGTTATCTCATTTAATCTCACCTACCATCTGGGAATTATTATTCCAGTTATACAGGTGATGAAAGCAAGACTATTCAGCTAGTACATGAGAGAACGAGAATTCAAATCCAGTTTGTCTTCAAAGCCCACACTCTCTACTTCCCTAGAACAAAGATGTCTGCACACTAACACAGTGACCCAGGGCATTCAATTCTGCACTGTGGCCTTGACTTATTCCTACATTTTGTCTGAATTTCTGATGAAACATTAAGCTCAATGTCTAAATATAGTTATTTTAAGAAACCTATCTTAAAGATTTTCTGTTTATCTGAAAGAATTGAGGTCTTGTCCACCATGTCTTGATGGCTTCCATTTATAGGACGGAACTCTTTAGTCTGACATACAAATCACAATCCATTTGAAGGCTATGGAGACAGACTCAGAGGGGCCATCAAATAATAAAAAATTAGGCTCATTCTGTCACACAAGACTTAAACTGACAAATGAGAAAACCCCAGAAACAGATAAAAGAACAAGTTCAGGGTGAAGGTCCTCACTTTGTAATAAGAGTATTTATGTCTTCTTTTCATCTTAAGGAATCACTTTGTGCCTTATCTGTGCCCCTTTCCTCAAAGTGGTATACTGCTAACATTTTATCCAATGTATTCTGTTTTGTATTAGTCCTTGGGAAAATAGACAACCTAATTGTATTAAGATTATGTATAAAGTAAGAGTATATTAAGTGATTAGTAAGGATCTGTGCTATTGGGATTAAGTGACCCCTGATATTTTTACCTTCTATTTCTAATACTCAAAGGCTTTGAAATTACAGAACCACATCCCATAACTGTAGCAGTACACACATAGGCTTTGGAATTTAGCAGGTAGTATTGAGACCCCAACCCTGCCACTTTAGTAGTTATGTGACCTTCAGCAGTTTACTTAACTTTCTGAGTCACGGCTCCCTTACCTGCTAAACAGGTGTAATAGTAACAGATTCTACTTCATAAGGTTGTTATGATGTTAGAGAACATAACTTATTCCAATAGCTTACATATATAGTAAGTGCTCAACAACTATTAGCTATTAATATTTGACTTTAAAAATAAGCCCATGACACAAACCAGGCAAGTATTGTTAACTATCTAATCCCAAGACAGGAGAAGAAATTCAAGTCCCCTGAAGTCAGAAATTCAGTAAGAAAAGCCAGACTGAGACAGAAATCCAATGCTCTAACTTTTAGCTCTAGCCTGTGTCCTGCCTTTGCCAGGGCCTCCCTGTGACAGAGGCAGCATTCTGCAGGACTGCGTCACTTCAGGTGTCTTCTATCTATAGCATCCTTCTGGGCCCTATTCCTCCTGGACCAAGCCTGCCCACTCCTGGGCTTGCTAACTGCTTCTACCAATTCCCCTGTATGACTCAGAGGCCTTCTATTTTTAATAAAGCTGAATAATGCCCATTAATGCCTGGTACGCAAAAATGTCCAAAGGGAACATGTATAATTATCCATCTCCAGAGTGATAGACATACCTGAATAATTGGGAAATTTCCTTTTGCACATATGTGGAAGCCATATGCCAGACACTCCCTCCTCCAAGACAGGTGAATGTTCTGAACATTGGAGAAGTGCCTCCCACCTCATGCCAGATTCAGTCTCAGCCCTGGAAGCTTGGGCTTTGCCTTGCTATCTCCATTTGTGGCAGAGAGAGCCACACTTCCACATGGGGACAGAGACTAATAAGGTCATGTCTCTAGTCACTTATGTCCAAGTCTGACAAAAACAGATACCTGGAATTGTATGGCTTAGAATGAAAGACCCAGACCTTGGCACCAAATATTCTTGTTGAGTCCCAGAAACTCCATCCTGAAAACAGGGGGCCTGGAGAGAGTCAATCTCCCAGAGCTATCATTTCTTTACATGTAAAGTGAAAAGAATAATAGTTATCTGTCAAAAGGTGGAGAACTTTTGATATGAGAGAATGAAGTCATGTGTGCATATTATAAGTTTTAAGAGTCATGGCTGTCAGTCAAATACCCTGGGACCAAAGCCAGCCTCTTTGGACCCTAGGAAATAGACTTCACCTTACTCTGCTTCCATGACCTCACCTGTGAAATAGACATAATAAAGCACCTACTTTGTTTAGTTGTAAGATTAAATGAGCTTACATACATAGTTAAACACTTAGAACAGTGTCTGGTCTAAGGCAAAAGCTTATTCAGCTTCAGATAGAACTAGGTGGGCACCTTGACAAAACGTATGAGCAACAGATATGTACCTGTCAGTTTTTCATATTGCCGTTCCTTAATGGTTTGATAAAAATAAGGAGAGTGCACTTCCACTTCAGCTGACATTTCTTGAACAAATGCTGAAGAATTTTTACTTTTAAAAAATCAATGTCTATGTCTTTCATATGCTTCACTTTTCTCTCCATCTGCACTGGCCACCTGTGTTGAAATGATCTCTTTCCTTTGGTTGTCCTCCTGTCACCATTCAGCTATAGGTAAATCAAAGGCAGGGACTGAGTTCCACACATCTTCACATGCCCAGCCCGTAGCATACGGTAGGTACAATAGATTTTAAGTAAACTGAGAAGGAAAGCTTTCTCTCTGTGGCAGCTTCATAACATGTGGTGCGTACCTTCATGAGACTTGCTTTGCCAAGAGATTGTACTGCACTTGAACTAGATCATCTTTTCAGGGCCATGTCTTAGGTACAGTTACCTGCAGCCACCAAAAGGTGAATTGTGTTTTTGTCTTGTAACTGGAAAATGCTTACTAAGTCAACAACAGCCTTCAGATTCTCTACTCATGTTTGAGTTGAATTCAATTAGATGAGGACACTTCAACAAGAGAAAGATGAAAAATCATCTCATGCTTCGACCAAACATGTTTTAACAGGGTACTTTGTTTGGAAAAAAATACTATCCTTCAACTTGGCAAACCAAAACCTGATGCTCTTCAATCTAGAGGGAGAAAAAAACAGCTTTGTTCTTAAAGTGTCATTATGAATTTGTGCATTTTAATATATTGGTTTAATCTATTGCAATTATTCTCACTAAAGCTGCAGTTGCCGTGTATTTGACAAGTGGGAGCCTATTCAAGTTATATTTCCTGTCCTTTTAACTTAACTGTGATCTTTGATAACTTCCTCATTTCTGACATAAAAAAAATGTTCTATTAGCCAGACATGGTGGTGTACACCTGTATTCCCAGCTACTGGAGAGATCAAGGCAGAAGGATCACTTGAGCCCAGAAGTTCAAGGTTGCAATAAGTTATGATGATGCCACTGCACTCTAGCCAGGGTGATAGAGACCTCGTCTCAAAAAAGAAGATATTCCAGACTTATACATTTTCTGCCCCAAACTTCAGCCACTTACAGAAAGATTGGGGATTATTTTTGTAGGAATTGATATTTAGAAACCACAGTCTGGACCCTGGGAATGCTCACTGCTACTCAGTTGTCATTGTTTCTAGGACTTGATTTCAGTGGGTGGAGCTAGCAAATGGCTAGCATCATGAGTTCATAGTGTGATACTTCCATTTCACACTGAGGACAATAGGCCTTGGGCTTAATTTTATCAACCTTATATCTGTACTTCCTTTTTCCCATCCCAAGAAATTCTAGTTTAAATAAAATCAATATAATTACTCAATTGCTTTCCCTTATGATTCACATATAATAGTGAAAGAATAATAATACAAATGTTCCCACCTACAATATGACTATTGTAAACAGTTTTGACATTCTTTATGAGCTCTGTTTATCCTCAGGGTATTCTCTCCCAGAATGCATCATTAAATTGTTATGTAAAAAAGACCTAGTTCTCTCTGTGTTGGTTCATTTGTTAAGAAATCAGACTATAGAGTTCAATTTCGAATTAAGTTCAAATCCTGGCTTCACTGCTAACTCGAGTGTGATCTTGGTCAAGTTTTAACTGTATTTGCTTTCATTTCCTCATCTATAAAATATGCATATAATAATACCTTCCTATTAGGGCTGTCGTGTGCATTATTAAAGGATCAAATATATGTATATTGCTTAGAACAGTGCCTGGCACACAATAAACATCTCCTAAGTATTAGCTAGTTTCTTATAACCTATGTATAACTCACTTGTTGAGCCAACAGACAGTGGTTGAGCACCTGCCCTGAGCCCACGTGTTAGTGCATAGTGAGCGTATTAGCAGGCTCAGGCTGCCATACATGACAAAACACCATAGACTAGGTGGCTTAAACAACAGAAATGTATTTTCTCACAGTTCTAGAGGTTAGAAGGTTCAAGATCAAGGTCCACCAGGGTTTGGTTTCTGATGAGGGCTCTCTTCCTGGCCTTCATATATTTCCCTTCTTGCTGTGTCCCCACATGGCCTGTCCTTGGTATGTGCACGTGGAGAGAGAAAGAACCGGCTGTCTGGTGTCTCTTCTTATAAGAACTATAATCACAGCATGAGTGGCCCTCATGAGCTCATCTACCCCTAATTATCTCCCAGAGGGCCAAAACCACCACATGAGGGGTTAAACCTTCAACGTATAAATAGGGGGTGAGAGATGAGCATCCAGTTCGTAACAGTAAGGGTATAACATAGAACTTATAACTCTGACTGTCCAGGAGACGACACAGGCATCTTCAGGTAATCACACAAACAAGTATAAACTCACAGGCACAGTAATGCCGGGAAGAGCAGGCCCTGCATCCCGATGAGATCTGCTGCATTCCTTCTGGTCACTTGGCTTCAGACAAAATGCCTCCCAAAATATCTAGGTACAGCTATGTTTCATCAGTGGAGAATTCCAAAGAAGACTTCCTCACCTCCTAGACATGTGTGCCTAAAGCCCATACCTTAGAAGTTCACCTGTTTCTTCTCTTTCTTCTCTTTCTCTGCCATGAACTGCAGCTGGAGTACACAGCCCGCCTGGACTTCCTCTGGCGAGTACAAGCCAAAGAAGAGATCAATGAGATGAAGGAGCTGAGGGAACACAATGAGAACATGCTCCGGAATATCCTGCCCAGTCACGTGGCCCGTCATTTCCTGGAGAAAGATCGAGACAATGAGGTGAGCCAGGCTAGTCCAGGAGGAGGGTGGTAGGGGTGAGCTGTGTATGGTTGTCCACATAGACCCCAGACTCTGGGAGAATTCCACTCTCCTCTCATGGTACATGAGAATGAAGACTGTACCCACCATGTGGTGCCTGGCAGCCCAAACCACCCAACACTGTGAAATTCATACATGGCCTCCCCTGGCCTCAGTTAGCTCATCTATAAGATGGGTATAATAAGGTCTCCGCTGTGAGACAAAATTGGAATTTTAAAGTTTCATATATGTATGCATGTATTTAAAATATATATAAATATATAAATGTGTATGTAAATATATTTAAATACATGTAAATATATATGTATATCTTCAACAGTTCCACTTCTTGGTATATACCAAAAAGAACTGAAAGAAGGATCTCAAAAAGATATTTGTACATCTAGCAGCATTATTTACAATAGCCCAAAGGGAGAAGCAACCCAGATGTCCACTGATGAATGAATAAGCAAAATGTGATATATGCATACAGTAGAATCTTATTCAGCCTTGAAAAGGAAGGGAATTCATACATGTTCTGTAACATGGATGAACTTTGAAGACATTATGCCACGTAAAATAAGCCAATCACAAAAGTACAAATACTATATGTTTCCATTTATATAAACCACTTAGAGTAGTTGATTTCATAGAGATAGGAAGTAGAATGTGAGTTAGCAGGTCCTGAGGGAAGAGGAGAAAGGAGATATCATTTCTTCATGGGTACGGAATTTCAGTTTTACAAGATGAAAAGAGTTCCAGAGATGGATGGTAGAGATGGTTCCACAACAATGTATATGTACTTAATACCATGAAACTACACATATAAAGTGGTTAATATGGCAAATTGTATGATATATATATTTACCACAGTTAAAAATAATAATACATGTTGTATATATGTGTGTATATGTATGTGTGTGTGTGTATATCCATATAGAGAGATAAATACCTACATCTAGATCTACATAGATAGGTATATTCTTAGAACATTGCCTAGTATATAGCAGATACTCAAAAATACTCTTTTCACTTAAAATTATTTTGTCTTATTACATTATGCTTAAAGGGTCACCAGGGAAGATAATCCACAATCCTGAAGTCTGAAATTGAGGTGCTAGGTGGCTCCTGATCCCTCTGGGGGGGGGGGTCTAGGGAAGAATCTTTCCTTGCCTCTTGCAGCTTCTGGAGCCCCAGGTGTTCCTTGGCTGTGTCCACATTAACCCTAATCTCATGGCTCCACATGGCCTTTCTTTAAAGAACATGGGTCTTCTCTTCTTCTTTTAAGGATACCAGTCATATTTAGGGCCCATCCTCATCCAGTATGACCTCATCTTAACTTAATTACATCGCAAATCTCTGTCTCCAAATAAGATCATTCTGACATTCCAGGTGAACGTGAACATCAGGGGGATACTGTTCAGCCCACTATAAGAATGAAAGGTCTTGTGGCAAATGATGTGGAGAGAACTCTTGGCTGGGGCATGGTGGTCAGGCCTAATGGGCCATGGTCAGGTTTGGGCACACTGTTACATGGAATAGGAGCCTTTGGAAAGTTTTAAGCATAACATAGTTGATCAGCTGCCAATAGAGAGTTTATAGGAGGGCTATAAGACCAGACCAGGTTGGACACCCTGAAATAACCCATGTATGACCCCAGTGATGAGGCCCAGGACAGTGACAATAGAGATAGAGAGAAGGAAATGGCTCCAGATACCTTTAGGGGGACAGGATAATTAAGCTGATGCAGGTGGTAAGAAAGGAAAAAATTCAAACAATTTGGCTCACCCTCCAAACTCCAAGGGGGAGTAATTCAAGAGGGAAATAAAGGTGCCTTTGAACGCCTAAAGGGGCATTATCACAGGAGAGGCCTTGGCCTTACTCTGAGAGACTCTTGAGGGATGACCTAGGACTATGGACAAGCCCACAAAGGACATCTCTTGGCTTTGTGTCAGGGGAAGCTTTACAAAGATAGAGCCACCATACTATCTAGTCCCCATAAGACTGTGAGATCAGCAGGGCAGGAACCACATTGTTCTTTGTTACTACTAGTCCTTTCGGCATGATGTGCCTCCCTGTAGCTCCTGCTCATGAAAGGTTTGTGGATGGACTGTAGTAGTGAGATCACTTGCTGGAGCATCAAGTGGGGAGGGCTGATCCCTTGAAGAGGATGCCACAGAGGCAACACGTATTTTCTGGGAAGTGGCCCTCATACAGCCCTGCCAATATTAGATTTTCAAACCAAGCTAATTAAGGGGTGAAAAACCCTTAGAACAAATGTTACAAACCAGAAGACCTAAGACAAATCGTTCCAGTGAGCCAGTTGGCTTAGACATGGTTAGTTGGTTGATTTGCTTATTTAACTTATAAATGTGATGCCTCTAGGCATAGAACAGGCTCTCCAAGTTATCCATCTAAATCCTGCTGCTTGTGTTACCTGTAGGGCCCCTGAGACATTTGGGTTTGTGACCCTTGCATTAGGACTCTAGAGGCATAACTAAGAGAGAGCTGTGGGTCCATTTTCCATCCAAGTCATACAAAAAAGACCAGTGGAAGAAAGGCCAAGGGAGTGAGCAAACAGATGGAGTTTCCCAGAATTGGATTCAGGTCTAGTATCCTCAAGGTCCCTAAGGTCAGTGGCTTTGTTGCAAGAGCTTCTTGACACAGCCACAGAAGCAGAGAGTCAATGTGCATCATCTGTGACCACCAGATGGAAAAGATGAAACCTCAAAATTAAAATCCAAAAAGAAATGTGAGAAAATCTGCTTTTCAATCAAGACACAAAAACAATGAGATATTTGGAACCAGGGGAAGAGCAAGGACATTTTGATTTCATCCTAGAAGGAAGGAAACCAACTGGAGATACATGCCAAGACTCCAGGTCATCCACTGTCACTCAAGTCAGGCCCCCACTGAACAGAATAAATGGCATCCTCAGCCTTAAACATATGTATAAGACATTTCCCATGAAAAGTCATCAGGATTATTTGGGACTTTATAAACATTTAACACTCAGTGAGGATTAGACACTGAACATGGTTATATTGCCTAGAGAATGTTAACATCATGATGAAATACCATTAGTTGGACACCTGCTGCATACCAGGTACTGAGATAGGTAATTGATGAAAATTATCTTTCATTTCATTGACACCTCAAGAGGAGAGTTGTCAGCTCCCCATTATTGATGAGAAAAGTAGGGCTCTAATAGGTTTGTGACATACCTCACTTTCTTTATGCAACGCTATACTCAGAATCCTGTCTCTCAGTTTTCAGAAACACCAATATCACCTTACAATGCAGCTACTCACAGTGCCCCTGGAGCCTCCCTCTGTAGAAAATGATTCCACAGGATGTACTCTAGGAACAGAATGCACAAGTTTCAGCTGACAAAGCCAAATGACTTCTTACATGTAACTTGAGTATTATGTCCTAGGCCAACACAGCCAGTGCCTTGCTTGAGGCCACCGCTGGCATCATTGCTGCAAGCTCAGCCTCTCTTTACTCTGCCTTTTTGAATTCTAACCCCTTTTTAAGGCTCTCCGAGGAGGCATGTGATCCAGTGGGAAAAATCCAAGCTTTTAAGTTAAAGGGACCTGTGTTGAAATCTCAACTCTGCCATTTACTAACTATGTGATTTGGGCCAAGTTAATTAAGTCCTCTGAGCCTGAGTTCCCCAGGTGTATGTAATATACCTCCCTCTAATATACCTCTAATTATACCCCCCTCCTAGGCCCCAGATGTTATTCAGACAAGGAAATAGAGGGAAAGCATTCTGGGCAGAGAGACCCCAATGGTCAAAGGCATAGAGGTGAGATACTGCAGAATATTTGCTGAGAACAGAGAGTAGAAAGACTACAAAGACCCCAGCATGTTACAGAACAGATGGAGGTCAGAGCAGAGGCAACCCAGGTACAAAGGGACTCGTCTTGAAGGGCATTGAAGGACCTTGAGTTTTATTCCATGTGTAGTAAGGAAGTAAGAATTATTATCCACATTTCCTACATGAAAAAAAAAATGAGGCTCAGAGAAGGAAAGAAACCTTTAAATCTACTTCCTCACTTAATTAACAGAGGAAATAATACTAACCTTGCTGAGTTGGGGTGGGAACTAAATTGGGTAAGAACACATTACATGCCCAACACAGCCCTCTGCAAGGCAGCTTCAGTATAGAAAGGTGTATGGAAGTATAGATGCGCTGAAAAGTCCAGTGCTGTCTGCCCACTTCTGGCTCCTCCTCTTACTACCCTCATGCCTATGATCAAGTGATAATCCTTTCTGGACCCCATTTTCTTCATTTTTCTTGTTATGCACAAAGAGTGCAGAATAATACTTCCCAAATTAATGCAATGTGTTGCAACATTTGCATGAGTTATTGTGCATAAACCACTTCAGTGGTACTTAACATATTTTTAGTGTGCACTGAATGTTACCTATTATTTTCAAGAAATGTGAGCCAGCATTATTTTTTCTTCTCCTTCACAGTCACAGCCCCACCTCCTACCCCTTCATTCACCTATTCATACTGCAAGAATTTACTGAACCATGTGCCAGGCATTTTTCTAGATATCAGAGTTAAAGGAAGAAATAAACATTAATAATGCAAGGGGGAGGGGTATACTATAGTGTTGCTCAGGGTACTGTTACAGCACCAAGCTCAGACTCCTAGCTCCAGCTGTGAGTCTGGGAAGGTTATGGGAGACATGGTCTCTAAGTGGTTAATGAAGGCAGAAAACAAAAGTTAGTCTACTAAAGGAGGCTAACTGCATAGAAGGAAGGACATTTCCCACCAAGGGATAAACAGTAGGAATAAAAGCATTTAAGTGTGAAATAGCCAAGTTTGGGTCTTTATTTGGTTTCTTCCAGAAGCAAATCTTGGGATAAGAATTCAAGTGCAGCTTATTTACTTGGCAGTGGCTCCAGGAAACATGGGTAGGAAGGAGAGTGAGAAAGAAAGCAACTGACAAATGGTGCATTATCAGACTAGATACCTCTGTGGGCAACCAGAGCTTAATTCCTAAATCCCTGGGAAATTTGGGAAACTGGTGTAAAATCACACCTCAAAGTTATCTGGCCCAGGGGGGTAAAGGAGCTGAGTACTACACACCACTTCCTGCCAGTCGTTGGCTGAGTTCTGCTCCTAAGGAGCATTAATTTCCAAGTGCTTTCAACCTGCTGCTCAGGTGGGCAGATGGCCTCTTAGTGGCTAGAGAAAAACCTAATGCCAAAAAACACCTGTTCTGAGCCCTGAACCTTAGTTGGGGGAACACTGGCAGGGCACCTGTAGCATCTACCATAGTGTGTACACAGAAGTGCAAATGTTTCCATGTCCCGAAGCACAAGGTCTAACACGAGGAATTGCAGGCAATGAGACTGAAGAGATAGGTGGAGGCTGAGAATTCCGAGGTCAAGCCACTGGCAGACTCAGTGTCTGGTGACCACCCATTTTCTGGTTTACAGATGAGCTTTATCCTGAGAGCAATGGTGAACCAGTGGAGGCTTTTAAGAATGAGAGAGGCATGGTCAATATTCTGTCTTTAAAAGATCAGTCCCTCTGGCTGCAAAGTGAAGTCTTTGAATGGGAAGAGACTAGAGTCAGGAAACTCAGTGGGAGGCTCTCATATTAGTGGTGGAGGAGGAAAGTAGGAAGAGCCTGATAAACCCAGCACAACTTGCTCATGGACTGAATATGGACCTAAGAAGAAAGGGCCAAGGTGAAAGCTTCACTTTGGTGATTTGGCAATGCCAGTTCCACCAAATGAGTTAGAGGATGAAGAAACAGGTACAGATATGGTTGGAGAGAAGATGCATTAGATTTATAGCACTTATAATTTAAGGAGTGTGAGAACAACTCAGCATGAGATGTGGAAGTTTGAAGGCCAAGAATGAAAAATGCCCTGGAGATAGCAATTTAGAAACTGTCAGCATATGAGTTTTGGGAAGGCTGGAAGTGAATGAGATGGACCAGGTAAGTGTATAACCAGAGGGTCAAATAAAGAATCATAGCAATCGCTAACATTTAAGGTGGAAGATAAACACCAGAAAAAGGAATTCTGGAAGGGGCCGAGTGTGATAAAAACAAGGCATGTCAACAAAGCATGGACCAAAAACATGATCTTGGGCACGTTCAACAAACATACCAATCAACAAAGTGTCCAGTAAGACAGGAACAGACATGGATGTGTTGATTCTTCCACTTTGAGGCTGGACTATTCTCAACTCCTGTCACTCCAGCCTGACATGTGAGTGTGGGAACATGCGGGGAGCAAACTAGTCTGAGAAGTTTGGAAAGAATGAAGAGAGACTGACTGGGTGGTATAAACAAGTACCTGTAGAACGCAGGGCAAGTGGTTCTTTTTCTTAGAAGAGATGCTTGGAGGATGAGGAGGAACAAGAAGAGTAGGACAAGAGAAAAAATAATGAAAAAGAGGATCACTGAGGGGAAAGTTGCTGAAGAAGGTACAAAGAGGTCGAGAACTCAGGTAGGAGTATTGACCCTCATCAGGAGAAAGGAAAATGCATTCTCTGGAAATGAAGCAAGAGAGAGAAATGAATATGAATATAGACAAGGGCATGAGGATGGGACAGAAAGTAGGTCACCCACCAAGACCTACAGCTTTCTCAGAGAAGTAGGAGACAGGATCATCCACTGTGAGGAACAGAGGAGAGAGCTGGGTTACGGAGAGTGGTGAAGGTTTGGATCAGCCACTGAAGGGACCAGAAAAGGAAGCTGGCCAAGGACAAAGGAATGGGCCAAAGAAAAGGCCTCCCCGCCTGAGGCTGGAGACCAAAAATTTTTCAGTGGTCCCAGTCCTTACAGTGATGATGCTGTGGTTATGGTGCAATGGACTGAATGTTTATGTCCCTCCAAAATCCATTATGTTGAAATCCTGAGGACTTCGGGAGGGAGTTGATTAGATCATGGAGTGGAGCCCTCATGTAAGACAGCTGCTTGCTGCTTCCACCACATAGGGACATAGCTAGAAGACATCATCTACCACCAGAAGGGGAGTGCTCACCAGACACCGAACTTCGGGTGCCTTGATCTTGCACTCCCCAGCCTCTAGGACCAGAGAAATTTCTGGTGTTTATAAGCAACCCAGTCTGAAGCATTTTGTTGTAGCAACCTGAACAGACTGAGACTGAACAGTGTTGATATAACAGTTTCCCATTTTCCATTTCTCTGCAGTGCCTGTGCATGTGCACACATGTATGTGCAGGCAGCGTCACTGCAGATCCTGACCTCTGATGATGGTTTCTGGCTCTTTCTCTGTGTCTGTCTGTCCAGGAGCTGTATTCTCAATCCTATGATGCCGTTGGGGTGATGTTTGCCTCCATCCCAGGATTTGCAGACTTTTACTCTCAGACTGAAATGAACAACCAGGGAGTGGAGTGCCTGCGCCTGCTGAATGAGATCATTGCTGACTTCGATGAGGTAAACCTAAGCCTCAGAAATTCACATTGACAAGTGGACATCATTGTTGTCATAGTGGCATTTTATTCATTATAAAAATGACCATATTTTGCACTTAGAGAATACCAGTCTGCATTATAAACACAGACATGTACTATCTGATTTAATTACCACAGCGAGCACCTGAGATAAATGCCACTGTTACTCCATTTGGGGCATGAGGAACGGAAGCCTCAGACAGGCTAGGTGACTTCACTCAATGTCACACAGCTAGTAAATGGCAAGAGGGGACTTGGCCAGAGGCCTGTCTGAGGCCAGTGCTATTCGGGCATTGCATCTAGCATCAGAGAAACATTTCTCCATCACAGAAAGTTTCTCCATGTAATGTGTCAAAGATAAAACCATCAGTTAGCATTTGGACAGAGAACTAAACACAAAAATAAACATTCCAGGTGGCAGTTTCCTCTTCTAGGCTCCACGAGTCTAAAGAACATGTTATGTAGGGAAAAAATACTCATGCCACACTTCAGTTCCATTAATAAACATGACAGGAGTGGGTTCTCTCCTCCCCCGCCCCCATCATGAGGGGCACCAGTGCCCGTCCAACTGCTGAGGCCTAAGATGGGAAGCAAGTGACGCATTAAGGAAACAGTGGGGAAGAAGTCACGCCAAGACGTGGGTTCACTGAAGTCTAGCCTCAGACTGATCCCCAAGAAGCTCGGAGCACAAATAGCACCACTGCTCACACTGAGGCCGGGGCCAGGCTTTCGGACACCTGTCTTGGTCAGTCATTGTTGGTTGTGGGCTTCTCTGGTAGAGTTGCACAGCCTCCCAGGCATTTCCAGCAAGGAGGCTCCCGGTGGTCCAGAGCAATTCTCCAAAAGTAGATGCAGCCATGCAGTTATCAATGGCCAACAGGAATGCCTGGAGGATGATGCCATGGAGGGGGTTAGGGGACACCAATAGCATCTATTGCCTCACCCTAAACAACGAGCTCTCCCTCTGGCTACATGTTCTATCCAACTGCCCGGGTCTGTGAAGTCCTTCTTTTTAAAAAACTGTATATATTTATAGCATACAACATGATGCTTTAATATATTTATATATTGTGGAATAATGAAATCAAACTAATTAACACAGCTATCGCCCCACCTACTTACCTACTTACCTTTGTTTTGTCAAGAAAACATTTAAAATCTACTCTCTCAATAATTTCAAGGACACAATACATGTTAGTAGCTACCAGCTGGCCAAGAGATCTGGAGAACAGTATTCCTACCATCTACCAGTAACTGAAACTTTGTACCTTCTAAGTAATATCTCCCTATTCCCATCCCACTTCCAGCCCCTGGTAATCACCACTCTGCTCTCTACTTCTGAGTTCAACTTTTTTAGAACCCACATATAACTAAAGTCATCCAATATTTCTCTTTCCATGCCTGGTGTATTTCACTTCTTCACTTAGCATAATGTCCTCCAGGTCCATCCAAGTTGTCACAAGTGACAGGATTTCTTTTGTGACTGGATAATATTCCACTTTGTGTGTGTGTGAGAGAGAGAGAGAGAGCCATTGACCAGTCGATAGAACCTAAATTGACTCCATGCCTTGGCTGTTGTGGATGTGCTGTGATGAACATGGAAGTGCAGAAGGCACATTGACCTTCACAGTTCTCAGAACTCTCCTTTTTCACCATCAATCCTTCTTTTGCTTTGCTTTGGGCTTTTTCTCACCTGGTCAACTGCAGTCACCTCCTATCTCCTACCCCACCTACATCTCACCCTTAGAAACTACCAAAGGTGGGAGTATATTGTCACATCCTTTTGAAGGATGAGATGTAGAACCCCTCAAGGGCTCCCCTCTGTCAGCTCCTTAGTTGGTAGCCTGAGGCCTTGCACTCACTGTGCAGCCATTGCTCTCACTGCATGCCACCTATCTCCTCTGGTCCTGTGCCATATAACTACTTAAGAGCCAGTAAGCCCACCTGGTTAGGTCACATATGCCCCTTCTGCCTAGGACCATGCTAGCCTTGGCCCTACCCTATCCTCTCTCCCTGGACTCCAAGGTCAACTGAAACCTCACATTTATTTCACAGATATTTCACACATTACTGCTACTCTCAAACCCTTTTCTAACCCTCTTCTCTACCTAGATAAATGCCTGCTCCCTTTTCAATGAAAAACTTACATTCTGTAACAAACTTCCATCACAGAACCTGACACCCTTCAGTACTGGTCTGCAAATCTGCCACCTCCACTGGCCACTTAGTTCTAGAGCAGAAACCCATCTTACTCATCTCTGTAGGCTTTACAAAGTGTTGCCAGAAGTGCAAAGCTTTTCCAATATACACTGTTTCGGTGTTATTTATCCCTCATGCCTAATCCATGGGATAGGAATTATTAACTTTCATTTTATAAATAAGCAAAGCTGAGACTTAGAGATATGGAGAATCTCTAAGTGACAAAGCCAAGATTTGAATTCAGGTCTGCCATATGGTTTTGGAGAGTTTTTGTGGTTCTTTTGTTGCTGTTGTTGTTTTCAGAAGATTACAGGGGTATACACATTTTGGTTACATAATTTGCTTTTGTACTTTTTCTTTTTAAGTCAAAGTTATAAGTGTGCCCCTTCACCCAGAATATGTGCATTGCACCAGCTGGATGTAAATTTACCCTGTCCCTCCTTGCCCCTCTTACCTACTTGATTTCCGTTGAGTTTTAATCATGGTGTTGCACTGTTTCTCACTTACTAGGCATTTCATGGTGATGATTTTTGTAAGTCGTTAGCTCAAAAGTGGTCATTGTAGTTGTGCTGGGCACAGACATAGGGAGTCAAGACAAAAACAAGACACAATGAATTCCTGTCTCCCAGAGCTTCACTATTCATGTGGAGGCAGGGTGACTATGAGTCTCTTTTACTTAAGGAATCTCTAGTAAGTGTACTAGTACCAATGGCCTTGCAGGATGAGAAGGGGAGAGCAATTCCATGATGATAGCACCTTGAACCTCCATCCTCCATGCTAGGCCATAAGCTGATGAAGATAGAAACCATGCTCCTTTCTATCCTGTTAAGCCCCCAGGGCCTAGCACAGTATCTAGGACATAAGACACACATAAAACAGAGACTTGCTAAGTATTTGCAAAATGAATTAATTAACTGATTGATTAATAACGGGAAACTATAAACCAACTGGCAAATAATAAAATGAAGAAGGGCTGGTGTCATTTAAAATATGCTTTTAAATAAAATAGATAAAGCTGTATTAAAAATATCTGACTAAAGATTGAGACATCAGGCTTTGCTGTATTTTAAACTCTATAGCAACCATATCTCAAAAGCGCTCAGTAGTGTGTTTTCAAATGATAATAAATAAAGTACATTGGAACTGAATTTGCATCTCAACACACCAAATTGTAGACACCCTGGAATCTTCCAAAAGCAGAGGAGGGGAGAAACACCCCAGTGGTAGAGATGAGTGTTTGCAGAGGAAAGTTAGAGATAGGATGGGCCAGGCAGCTGTCTAAGATAGATAGATAGATAGATAGATAGATAGATAGATTTTTTTTATTGTTGGGAATTCATTGAAGCTGTGTTCTTTAGAACATAGGCTTTAGACCAGGAGAAAGAGGACTACTAAGAGGAGGGGGAGAAAGAAAGAGGGAGGAGGTAAGAGAGGAGAGATAGAGATGAGGAGAAGGAGGAAGAGAAGAGGAGGAAAGGGGAGGAAGTGGTAGAGAAAGGGCAGAGAAGGAGGAAGTGTGGAAGACGGTATAGTCACCAGGAAAATAAAAACATTCCCTAAGTTGCCAACCCAAAGCATTCTCTGCTGTGCCCATGTGGGTCCTTGGGTCACCCAGACATGTCTCTAGATTCTGCCTGGCTAAGCTCCAGCCAGACGCCTGCTGTTCACTTCAATAATGATGCTCCTCTTTTGGCTGATACAATTACCACAGGAACCTGAGATCATGCAAGATTCTTTCTTGGCTTGGAGGCAAGCTGAACTTTGCACAGAGCACACTCTCCAAGACTATGTTTGCAGTAGCCCAATGCAGGAGCTCCTGAGCCCACAGCTCCTGCCTGGGTGAAGGGCTAAAGAGTCCCCAGACACCTCACTTCTCCATTTGCACTAGTAGACTAATGAAGGGGCTGATTAGGGACCACACGATGCCCCCCAGATACTTTTAGCTATACAGAAGACAAATCCTGCATGGATATTAACTAAAATAATGGAGCTTCTTGCTGCCTCCAAATTGACTTCTGAGGGGAAGGCAGCTTTGCCTGGGCCTGAAATTGGCCCTTGGCCAGGTAATGCTGAAGAGAAAAGAAAAAGGAAGAGCACCCCCCACCAGTAACACATCAGATCATCCCACAGCCAACAGAAAGCTGGGGGATGCATTTATACAGAGGCAGAGGGAGGGGAATGGGCAACTGAGGGCAGTTCAAGACTTTGAGCTGAAATATTAACACTCGAAAGTCTGCTAAGACACCAGACCTGTTTGGTGGTGTCTGAGGGCAAACGACAGACATAATCCAAGGCTAAAGATCTGAGTACCCTGAGCACAAGTTGAAGAATCACAGTGAGGGCAAAAGAGTGGCTTCACTTTCACTCAAGAACCAAAAAATAATGAACATAGGCTGCCTCCACTATAAATCAACACCCCCCCCCCACACCCCACACACACGTATCCCCAAAGCAAACCACAAAAGCACCTGGCTATGTTCAAAGCAGACTTTCTCTCAAGCAGAAATTTTCCAAGCATTGTTAGCCAGCTCCTGATTAATTTTGAGAGGATGCTGTAACAAGAGTGTACAGAAAACCTACTTCATCTGCTCCCTCTGCCCATCTGTCTATGCACCAGAGGACTACATGAGTCCTGAGGATATTACAATCTTAAAGGGAAGCAAAGAGTTGGAGAAAAGAAATTATGTCTACATATCTGCCAACAGTGGGGAATAAGAGGCCAGAATTTGCACTTGGGAGACAGGGAGGTTTGAGTTTGCACCTAGTTCTTCCACTCAGACTGGCTTTGTGGGCATTCACCTGTGCAGTCACACAAGGGACCCATCCTTGGTTTAATGTTCTGTTGTTGCTCTCATGTATGTCCTAATTTTTAAATAGGGGGTTCCACATTTTCATTTTGCACTGAGCCCTTCAAGTTATGTAGCCAGTCCTGCCTCTCCTTTCTCACCATGGGACCACAGGACATTTCTTTCACCACATGGAGGCCGTGGTCATTCATTTGCAAAAATAGAGCTGCAAATAGCCACTCAAAGAAACAATCAATAGAGGGCAAGCCCTTATTTTGTGCCCCAATGTATGTGGACATCACTTCTTCTGATCTATTTTTAAATCTGTTTTAAACTATAAATGTATGCTTTATAAGTTTTTTAAATATTTTTATTTTTAATTATTATGAGAACATAACAGTTGTATATCCATGACCTTTGGGAACTTGATTATTAAGTGGTAGTCTTGTTTGGGTTAAATTTGCTTGGTGTTTTATGACCTTCTGATACCTGAATATTGATCTGTCTCTCTATAGGTTTGGAAAGTTCTCTGTTATTATCCCTTTGAATAAGATTTCTATCGCAATATCTATCTATCTATCTATCTCTATCTCTCTCTCCCTCCCTTTTTCCATCCCTCCCTCCTTTTTAAGGCCAATAACTCTTAGATGTGCCCTAAGAGATTATTTTCTAGATCTTGAAAGCATGATTTATTCTTTTTTTATTTTTCATTTTTCTCTTCTGATTGTGTATTTTCATATAACTTGTCTTCAAGCTCACAAATTCTTCTGCTTTGTTAATTCTGCCATTGAGAGACTCTGATGCACTTTTCAGTTTGTTAATTAAATTTTTCAGTTCCAGAATTTCTGCTTGACTTTTTTTTATTATTTCAAACCATTTGTTAAATGTCTTTGATAGGCATCTGAATTCTTCTCTGTGTTTTCTTAAAGTTCATTGAGCTTCTTTAGAACAATTATTTTGAATTTTTTTACTGAAAGGTCACATATTTCTATCACTCCAGTATTGATCATTGGTGCCTTATTTAGTTTGTTTGGTGAGGTCATATTTTCCTGGATATGCTGTGGATGTTCACTGATGTGTGAGCATTAAAGAGCTAGATATTTGTTTTTATCTTCATGGTCTGAGCTTACTTGACCTGTCTTCTTTTTATTCTGGAAATTTTTTTTCTTTTTCATTTCTTTTTTTTTTTAATTAAGTCATATATACATATATCATGAATACATTTATGCCTTTGTGGGATTCAATGTGTTGATTATTTGTACAAATTGGAGTGCTTACATTCTCCTAATTAACACAGCTTTCACCTCATTTACTTAATCACTATGTTAAGACATTTGTGTTCTATACTTGATAGATTTGACTTGTACCCTTGCAATATGCTCCATAGGTGTGGTCCCACCATTAATCCTCCCTCTGTTAAACCACCTCCCTCCCTTATCATCCCCCTCCCCTTCCATCCTTCATCCTGGGCTATAGTTGTGATTCACCTTTCATATGAAAGTGTGAGTGATTATAAATTGGTTTTGTAGTAGTACTGAACACATTGGATTTTTTTTCCATTCCTGAGATATTTTACTAAGAAGAATATTTTCCAGCTCCATCCATGTAAACATAAAAGAGGTAAAGTCTCCACTGCTGGTGGGAATGCAAGCTAGTACGTTTCTTTTGGAAAGAAGTTCGGAGAACACTCAGGGATCTAAATATAGACCTGCCGTTTGATCCTGCAATTCCTCTACTAGGTATATATCCAAAAATCACTTGGCAACAAAGATTGTTCATTGCAGCTCAATTCATAATTGCCAAGTCATGGAAGAAGCCTAAGTGCCTATTGACCCCAGAATGGATGAATAAATTATGGTATGTGCACCATGGAATACATACAGCATTAAAAAAAGATGACCTATCCTTCTTGAAAAGGCTTTCCAAGAGTATTCATAGGTAATTGAGCCTTGTGATCTAAGTCTTTGGTCACTGCAGCCCCTCTAGGGCCTCTATGTTCCAGCCCCCATCCCCTCTATCAGCCAGGCTTAGTACACTGCAGCCAATGGGACTCTTCATAAGTCTTTGGACCTCCCATGCATCCTCTCCACCCCCCAGATCCTCATTTTGTGGTCCACTATGACTGTCTCCTATACTCTCTGTCCCATGCCTGAACCTCCCAATGCACTCAAACTCATATACCCAGTACAAGAAAATCCCTCCTCACCCTTCAGAACTGAAGTTAGAAATCACTTTCCCAAAGTCACCTTCCCAGATCCTCCAGATCAGATCAAAATAGCCCTTTTTCCTCATCCCTACACCCTGTACATTTCCAACATACACTTTATTGAAATTGAACCAGGGCATGTTGTGTGTGTGTATTTATTTATTTATTCTTAGCATCCGGGCTAAAGCTCCCCAGTGACTGAGGCCTCATGTACTCCACCTTCAGACATATAAGAACTCAGTAGTTACTGTGTTAGTTTTCTGTTACTGCTATAACAAATCATCACTAGTGCTTGAAATAGCATGCATCAATTATCTTATAATCTGGAGGTCAGAAGTCCAAAATGGACCTCACGGGGCTAAAACCAAGATGTCAGCAGTTAAGAGTTCCTTCTGGAGGCTCTAGGGGAGAATCTGTCTCTGCGTTTTCCAGTTTCTAGAGGCCACCCATGTTCCTTGGTGCTCATCCTTTTCCTCCATCTGCAAAGCCCAGAGTCACCTGACTCAGACCCTGCTTCCACTGTACCATCTTCTCTAATTCTGCTTCTTCCCTCTTCCACTTATAAGGACCCTTATGATGAGATTGGAGCCATCCAGGCAACCCAGGAAATCTCCCCATCCCAAGATTCTTAACTTAATCACATATGCACAATCCCTTTTGCCATGTAAGGTAACATATGCACAGATTCCAGGAATTAAGACATAGATATCTTTGGGGGTTGGGTCAGAGGACATCATTCTGCCTACCACAGATGCTGAAGAAGAGAGTATTAAAATCCAAATTACAGGGAAAGATTGAGGAAATGTCAAGGATGATACCTAGTGTTTTATTCACTTAACCATTCATTCATTCATCCTGGCTGTGTTCTACACTCTGTCTAGGTCCTGAATAGTAAACACAACAAGGAAAAATAACTGCTTACATACATTTCAGTGGGGAAGGTGACAATAAATAAGGAAAATCAGGAATATGTTCTAAGGAGAGAAAATAAAATGGGGAGGGAAGATAAAAATGTATATGTGGGGATGGGATACTGTGTTCAGTTTTAGATGGGATGGTTAACAAGACTGAACTGAGAAGATGGAATTTGAAGAAAGGCCTGAAAGAGGTGAGGAACTAAGCTATGCAGTTGTCTGAGAGAAACAGCACATGCAAAGGTCCTGAGGCAGAGGCAGGCCTGGATGTCCAGGGGCAGAGGAGGTCAGTGTGGCTGCAGAAAAGTGAATGGGGTAACAATAGGAGAAGGAGAGGTCTTGGCAAGCCTTGCAGGTCACAGAGCAGACTGGCCTTGATCCTGAGTAAAACAGGAGGCCATGGGAGAGCTTTGCACAGACCAGGGACATGGTATGACTTATATGTGAATAGGCAGATCTATTCCTTAAAGAATATCTAGTTATACCCATCTCAGGTCCTGGCACTTAGGAAGTGCTCAATAAAATATGTTGGCTGGATAAACACATGATTCTCAGAGAGAAAAGCAGTTACCTTGAGGATGCTGCACCATCAGAGGCAGACCTTCCCTGTTTTCAGGAGCCCCTGCTAGAAGAAAAAACACCAGGGCTAACATGTTGTCTGGATCTATTTCAGTTGCTCAGCGAGGACCGGTTTCAGGACATTGAAAAGATTAAGACCATTGGCAGCACCTATATGGCTGTGTCAGGCCTGTCACCTGAAAAACAGGTAAAGTACTCTTTGGACTCAGCCACAGCCTGTGGCAGGGGTCTTGCTGTTGTCATGTCACTGAACCTGGTGAAGCCTCTGCCACCAAGAGGCTTGGGGAAAGGTAGGGAGAACATCTGACAAACTGAATTAGCATAGTTATGTGATGTCATTTGCTTTGAGGTAGGTAGAACCTACTGGATGAAATGATGCCACTTTACTGAGAAACTTCAAGCTTTCATTCTGACCCTCACTTTTCCCATGAGCAAAAATCAGGGCCAAGAAATGCCCTGATTATGATTTAGTTCTGGGTGTTACTAAACCCCAAATACTAGCCTCTTTTTCTTATTTTTATTTTTTTACTTTCAAAAATCATATATAATAATAGCTCCTGCTTTGAGGGGAGTGTTGAATGTGTGCCAGGCACTAGTGGTAGAGATACCATCTACCTTTCAGGGTTAATGGGTGAATTAGCTAAGACAATGTCATGCTGTCCATACGAAGTCTTGCGTCTAATAAGTGACTATCTGGAAGAAACCCATGTTGGTAATTTGGTGCACATGCTTGGCACTCTGTAGCAGAGGTCAGAAAATTATGACCCACAGACCAAGTCTAGCCCACCACCTTTTTTAAAAATAAAGTTTTTTTGAACACAGCCACATCCATTCATTTACATTTTACTATTGTGCCTTTCAAGTGAAAATAGCAGTGCTGAGTAGTCACAATGAAGACCATACGGTTCACAGAAACCCAAAGTATTGCTGATTTGTGTGCCAGCTTCTGCACACAGGTGTAGGGGCATAAAGGTCTCTCCTATACATAATGTCATCCAATCCCTGGGAGGTAGGAAGGTCAAGACCCACATTTTATGTATTTGGAAACTGAGGCTCAGAGATGCCCGGCGGCTTGCTCTGCTCATCCTTTAGGACTTTCATGATCAAATGTCTAAATGAAATATCCTGTAAACAGACTCTGGGAGCCCTTGAAAGGAAATAGACCCAATTCTGAGATTGGGAAAGAAGTACCTAGGAACGTAGGAATGTAGGTAGGTACGTGAGCAAACCCACACTGGTGAGCGCACTCTGGAATTCGCAGGGCCTTGATGCGTATAGATGTGAAAGGAGGAACAGAACAACCCACACAGCTCACACTCCCGAAGGCAAATCTCATGTGACCCGTGCTGCTGATATACCGAGGACTTGTGCACGCAGGGGCTCCCACACATGATTATTTCCTTCTGAAGGACGTGCGGGTGGGGTTGGGACACAAAGCCCCTGCTGTGGAAATGTCAATGTTGAATGAATCCTCCTCTCACCTTCCCTCCAGCAATGTGAAGACAAATGGGAGCATTTGTGCGCCCTGGCCGATTTCTCTCTCGCCCTGACTGAAAGCATCCAGGAGATCAACAAGCACTCGTTCAACAACTTCGAACTCCGGATTGGTGAGTAGCAGCTGGGACTGTGGCAAAAGGGGCCCCATAAAGCCAACTGGCCTTGCTCCAAGAGACGCTGTTACACCCTGGCCATCAATCCAGGGGACCTCTTCACTGCAAAATGCGACAGGTTCAGTGTGACCCACCAAGGGCAGGGATAGGGTCAGGCCTATCTGATAGGATAGCTTAGGCCAGTGGTTCTCAACCTTCCTAATGCCATGGCCCTTTAATACGGTTCCCGTGGGTCATGACAGGAACCCTAAGCGTCATGAGAACCGCTGGCTTAGGCCTTTCTGAGCATCCTCTCACTCGAGGTAAGGGAAGTAAAGGCAGGAGACTGGCCTTTGTGGATAAATTCAAAGCAGCCAGTGTTTGGGTAAATGCCAAACTATGGTCAACCTGTCTTCCAACTTACCCACCCAGGCAAGGTCGTGCTTAGACAGGTGGCTAAGTAATCAATCATTTAATTCTGACTTCTGTGCAGCTCAGTGCTGGGGGTTAATGTATTGCTCTCACGTTCTTGTGCATAACACCTTCAGGCAAAAGCAGGTTTCTCTGAGGCTGCCAGATAGTGTACTGAGCCAGAGACAGGCTCCACTCGCCAGAGAACTCTCCTCTTCCTGGACTCAGAGAAAACACTTATGCAAAGCGTAACAATAATCACTGTGATACAATGAAAGTATTAATCCTTTATGATCTTTATAATTTGCTAATTCTTTCTACATCTCTGCTGAACCTGGACAACCTCTTACCCATGTTCTGAAAGCCCCTGGTCTAGTCCACATTCTTGTTTCATAAATGAGTAAACACAGGCCCAGAAAAGGAGAGTAACCAGCTTAAGATCACACAGCCAAACAGTCACGCCAGAGGCGGCTCCAGGCTTTCCTGATAAGACCATGACATTCCGGCTGGCAGGGGAGTGCAGTTTAAAACAACTCTCACTGCTGGCCTCGTATGATAGACATCCTCTGACAAACCATTTTACTTTACTTGGTTCTCCTGTAGAAAATTTCAAGAAAAAGAGGTCAAGATATAACAATATCTGACTTTTCAGATCTAAGGAAGGCCACATATTTTTGTTCTTTGGAACAAAATAAATTATATTTCATGTTTTTGATCTATGGATGGGATGCTCAGGGCTTATTCCCACATCTCCCATCAGTCCTACAAATCTTCTCAAAAATCATTGCCTACAAACTCCAACCAGGAATCAAAAGAGAATCTGAAGCCTGAATAAAGAGCTATTCCAAGCAAATTCCAAAGACATTGTCAAAGTCAGGGCCAACCCTTGGTGTGCCCTATCAAACTGCCAATATAATTTTATTGATAATGAAGGTTAGAAAATTAATTTCCCAACTATCTCAAGCATCTCAATTTGTGCTTTGCAAATCTGCTGAGATGAGCTGTATGACTCTGAACAAGTCATTTAACCCCCCTGAGTCTCAGTTTCCTCCTGCATGAGCTAGGTGTGATAGTACTACCTCCCTGCCTGCCTACCCTACAGGAATAATGTCACAGTCAAATGGGATAATGGCTTTAAAAGTGCTCTGCAAATTTTAAAGAGCTAATCATCATTGATTCCCATTGAAAACCAGAGTCTGTTTTTCAAACTTCCAGCCGATTATGTTGTGTGTGTACACGTGTCTGTGTGTGTCTCGCTCTTGCCTCTGCCTAGAACAATCTTGCCCAGAGAACTTCAGAGCTAGTCCCACCGCTTTTTTCAGATCTATGCTCAAAAAAAGTCTTTGCTAACTGCCCTATTCCAGAATGCACCCCTCCCGTATTTCTTTATCCCTTTACCCTGATGAGTTTTCTTTACAGGCTTTATCATTTACTGATACGTTACCGATTTTTCATTATTTTCTATCTCTCCCCAGTAGAAGAGCCAGGGCTGTATCTCTTTTCTTTTCCATGATATTCCACTGCCCAGCACAACACCTGTGTCATAGCAGGTGCCTTTTCAATGTGTATTGAATGGAAAAATTCCAAGTCTGTCAGGAAATATACACAACTGCTAACACGTTTAGTGACGTGACATGCCGTCATTTCTAGAAGAAAAGTCTATATGTCCTAGATGAAGGAGAAGGCATTGAACCTGCCTTTAGAAGCATTTCCAAATAAAATGGGGGATTCCTGGGAAGTAATGCCCCAAGCAGAGAAAGGCAGGCCAAAATCACAAAGGTGGGAAGTGGCTGGCAAGTGAGGGGAGCTCTAGCAGCTCAGTATGGATACAGTGCTAAGGTACAGGAGAGAGTGTGGTGAAAGGTCTCACCAGGCCCTTAGAGTATGGCATCAGAGAAGCAGGGGCAGATGTCGGGGTCCCCCATTTCCTAGTCAGTGTTCTGATCATCCCATGGGCAAGATAAGCCAGTGTTCACATGAAAATTATAATTATAGTCTGTTGAACACTCATCTCTTGTTTGGCATCCTATGCCAATGGCTTTACTTATCTCTTTAAATCCTCTCTTTTTTCTTATTTCCACTTTGCAGATGGGAAACATGAGATCTGAATAGGTGAAGCAACTGAGGCAGGTCACACATCTAAGAAGTGACTGAGGCAGGATCTGGACCCTCCAGTGCATGCACACAGTTACACGTGTAGTGACCACTCTCCTGGGGAGGGGTCCAGACTCCTCGTTGTCCCTCTTCTCTCTCTCATCTCTTGCTCCCTTTTCACTCACAGGCATCAGCCATGGCTCAGTGGTAGCTGGCGTCATCGGCGCTAAGAAACCACAGTATGACATTTGGGGCAAAACCGTGAACCTGGCCAGCCGAATGGACAGCACAGGGGTCAGTGGCCGGATCCAAGTCCCAGAGGAGACCTATCTCATCCTGAAGGACCAGGGCTTTGCCTTTGACTACCGAGGGGAGATCTACGTGAAGGGCATCAGTGAACAGGAAGGAAAAATCAAAACGTACTTTCTCCTGGGAAGAGTCCAACCCAACCCATTCATCCTGCCCCCGAGGAGACTGCCTGGGCAGTACTCTCTGGCCGCAGTCGTCCTGGGCCTTGTCCAGTCTCTCAACAGGCAAAGGCAGAAGCAGCTCCTCAACGAGAACAACAGCACGGGGATCATCAAAAGTCATTACAGCCGGCGGACTTTGCTGACGCCCAGCGGGACGGAGCCCGGAGCCCCCGCCGAAGGCACCGACAAATCCGACTTGCCATAAGAAGCATTTTCTTTGTGTTCCTTTTTTTTGTATTTCTTTTATATATAAAACAAATATACTAATAAAAAGGTTTAATTTTTTTTAGAACAAGGATGGTTTCATTGGTCTTTGAATGCACCAGGTCAAGGACACAATTTGAGGTTCTCTTCCATCACAAACAGTTGTTGATCACCCCTTTTGTGGGGTTTATTGGCAAACAAAGATAAATGAGACCGAGTTTCTGACTTTGAGAGGCTCACGACTAAGTCAGGAAGAGGGTCATGGGAACAGAGAGTCCACATGATCAGACAGATACTCAATAACAATTGCCACTTTTTGAGACTGTGTCATGTGTCTGGCCAGGTGTGAAATTCTTCACATACATTCTTCAATTCTCTTGTGATCCTCACCACTCCTGTACATACATTTGATCTGTATTTATTGAACACCTAAAAGGCACCTGTGCTGCCCCGTGCTCTGGAGAAATCCCTCAAAGAGCTAACATTCTGGTTGGAGAGTAACCAATAATATTCACACAAGCAGTACACAAATAATCTACTTTCAGATAGAGGTAGATGCAATACAGAAAATTAGGTAGGACAATTAAGACAAACAATGAGAGGGCAGAAATACTGACTTAACTAGAGTCATAAGGGAAGCCTTCTTTGAGGCTGTGACATTGAAGATTAGCCCTAAATAATGAGAAAAAGGCAACCGACAGGACCTGGGAGAAAAGAGACCCAAGCAAAAGGAAGAGCAAGTGCAAAAGCCCTGACATGGGACTGAACCCAGTACACTGGAGGACAATGACAACATCAGAGGGTGGGGGCCACCACAGGCAGGTACACTCCTTCCTGGAAAGACAACTCCTAAGCTCTTTTCTATGATTATAAGACTGTCAGGAATGTTTCATACCGATGAAAAAGCTTAGAAAAACTAGAAGATTTGCCCAAGATCATAGAGTTAGTTGTAGAACTAGCTTCAGAACTATATTGTCAATAAAAGATTGACTGCTACAACAAAAATCTCCCAGTCTTAGTGGTTCAAACAATAAAAGATTTACTCCTACTCATGTGTCATTGGATGGGTGGCAGTGGGCCTTCCATGCAATGATTTGGGGACCTAATCTTCTTCTGAGGCACTAGAGTTCTCTGCTTAGTCCTGTATATCCAGCCAACTGAGAAGAAGACAGGGAAAGGGAAGGGAATCACTCAGAAAGTCTTAACAGGCCTAGAAGTTCATAATTATTGCTCTGTCCCACCCCGCACTGCTGGAGAAGTTAGAAAGTGGATTCTTCGTACATTTCCTTACTAAAAGGGTAAATGAAATGTACTGAGGAGTATTGCCTGTGCCATAATAACCTAAATTTGCCTACTCCAGAGTCCATATCCATAAACACTAAGATATTCTGACAAGTGATATGTTAGCGTTACAAGGTTCGAGTAATGGAAGGAGAATTATGAAATCCAAACCATTCTCTCAATTCTGGTCTCTGAACAATGGCTCACTGAAAAGAAACTCTGCTCCAAGTAATGAATCCATAGTAGACATGCTGTCGTGGAAGTAGCTCTATGAGGCCTCCCAGGTAAGACCCCTAGGGTAGAAACAAAACCTCCTTCTCCAGAGAGGCACAAAGAACAGACAGGGAATTGAGGTGTGCATGAAACATAAACTCTGAGACAACTTTGGAACGCCTTTTGCTTTTGGAAATTATGTACATTTCAAATAAACACACAAGGCCCCAGCAGAATGTGAAGAGGATGTCATGTGAAAAAGCAAAACTCCATAATCTGGGCATATAGGTGGTTTCCATGCTTGGTGATTATAAATTGAGCTGCAATAAACAGTCTAGTGTAAATGTCCTTAAGATAAAATATTTTTTTTTTCTTCTGGGTAGATCCCTAGTAATGGGATTATAGGATCCAATGGGATGTTTAATTTGAGTTCTTTGAGGATTCTCCATACTTCCTTCCATATAGGTTGTATTAGTTTGCAGTACCACCAGCAGTATATGTATACAATGGAATACTATTCAGCCATTAAAACAGATGGAGACTTTATGTCTTTTGTATTAACCTGAATAGAGGTGGAACACATTCTTCTTCGTAAAGCATCACAAGAATGGAGCAGCAAGATCCAATGTACTCAGTTCTAATATGGAGGCAATAGATGAGCTAATACAGGAGGGGGTGGTAGAGGAATGAGGTAGTAGGGAGAGGGGAGAAGAAAGGGGGATTGTGGACACAGTGTATGGCACACCTCTTAAGGGAGGGACACAAGTATAAGGGTGACTTTATCTAACAAATGCAATCAGTGTGACTTAATTCTTTGTACCCTCAGTAAATCCCAAACAATAATTTAAAAAAAAAAACTCCATAATCTGTAACACCCTCTACTTCGCTAGGACCTATTACAACCTTCAGAGACTCAGTCCCAGTTTGGGAAAGCCCCAGGCTTTGCTCAGTCTGACCTGCTGGGGACATTTAAACAAAGTAAAGCTCAGGGAATGCTGAGACTTGGAACCTGGAGAAGGAGGTGGGGAGCTGAGTTCAGGTAGGTCAAGGTTTGCTGAACAACACTAGCAGAGATTCTGGCACAGTGAAGACAAAGTGTATAAAGACAGAGAAAAGATGGTGTGAGTCACTAAGCTCTGGCCTCCTGCAGAGCACAGGGTCCAGCAGATACACAGCTTGTATCTGAAAGGTGAAAACAATGGTGCCCAGAGATGAGGACAGAGATGTTCAGGCCAGGTTTATTGAAAAGGGAGGCTGACCTGCCTGGGCAGTGCAAAGATGGCATCAGCTCCCTGGGGCAGTTAGAGACCTCTTTATATGGAGCCTTATAATGGTGAGCTAATTCCACAGCTAAAGTTAGGGTCTTTTGGCACGAGCTTCTGGGGGTGGGGCTAGCCAGATCCTTTGGGTCTTTGTCTTAGGAGGAGAGTAGAAGGAGAAGGAAAAAGGGTTTGTGTGTGGCTGTGTTAGGTCCCCAAACAGTATCAGCAGAGTCTCTGGAAAAGAGGCCACCAGGGACAGATTTTATCCCTAAACTCTGAGCTGGGACCCAGGACAAAGTCCCTGAACTGGAAGCCTAATTTGACCCAGGGCAACATAACTGGGCAGAAACTAAGGTAAGAAGCCTCTGGCAGGCAGATGCTACCAGTATGAAGGTGAGGGTGGGTCACCACCTAGACCCTGCTCCTGACTCAGTATACTGGTCCTTGAGACACAGCAGATGGAGGAGGTGAACACCCCATCCCGAATCTGGGAGGTGTGTGACTTTGCTCAGAGCTCCATCTAACAGCAGAGCATGGAGAAGGATGGTGCTGAGAATCTCCAACATGTTGCCAGTAACCCCACCAAAGGGGCATCTGTCCTCTGCCTCAGTTTACCCAGCACCAATGCACTGACTCCCTTCCCTCTAGGTCAGCCCGGCCACTACCACCAGCCAATGTGTTGTCTTAACCCACTCTGGGCAAAAGGATGTTTCTTTTGAGAGAGAGTCCAAAAGGGACAACAAACTGGCCTGCGATCGAACAGCTAAGAAGCAAGCCTCTTCTCGGGCCTGGCATGGTTCTGGGGGTGCCAGGGAAGGCAGTCTTCCTTAAATTAGAGCTGTGTTTCTGTTTACCTACATTTTTGGCCCACTCAGTCTTTTATTAAAGAGAACCTGAATTGCTAAGTGATTTCTGAGAAGTCTGGCATGGCACTCCAGTCACACATCAACCTTTCCCTCTTGTGAACTCTGGAGTTTGATTTTAGAAATGTCAAGGACAAACCCCTGCAGAGGGAGCAGTGCCCAAGGTGGTGGAATACAAAGAGAAACCAAGTAGGGCTTAGTCTAAGTCTGGTCAGGCCTAACAGAGGGGCCTTCTGGAGGCTAGTCTAGGTGTGTTCTCCATCATTCATCAGCCTGCATAGGGAAGGCACAGTTTCCCATGGGACAAGCAGGCAGGGTTGTCTACAGCATTCATCCAAGGACTGGGTTAGAGGAGCTGCTGCCTCCCAATGCACCATCCTGTAAAGCCAGGAGATTCACCTCAAGCTCAGAAATGTCCCCACACCAGCTGTACCATTCACTTCCTTCTCTGGGAACCATGTCAGTATAGCTGCTCTCCATAGGAAGTTAGAACGATGTTGTCATTCCCATTTTATAATTAATGAAACTGAGGCACTAAGAGCTTAAGGAACTCACCCAAGGTCTAGCAACTAGAAAATAGTGATGCTGGGACTCAAAGCTAGGTGGTCTGGCTCAAGAGTCCTACCTTTTGGCACCCCTGCCAAGCCCTGCAAGGGTGTAAATGATATTCATGAAGTGACGGCTGGTGTCTGAGCACACTGACCACTGGTGGGCTGCAAGCTGTGTAAACGAGTGACCTTCAGGGAAACTCTGCAACCACAGCCATTGGAACAGCCTGGGATCAATAGTCCTGAACCTGAATAGCTTCATCCTTGTCCCCCAGTGGCTTGAACAACTATTTTCAGTTTTTTAGTTTGCAGTGATATGAAAAAGGTCAGGAGCTCTGGGCTAAGAGCAAATAGGCAATTTCTTGAGGTGCACAGGCCTTGGATTGAATCCTATGTGATGCTGGGCAAGTGACATGAGCTCTGTGCACCTCAATTCTTCACCCGCCACATGGGGATCATAAAAGAAGCCATTGCGGTTCACAATCCTGAAGGTTTCAGATTTGACAAATGTGGTGGACACACCCTATTGAAGAGCACCTCACTTTGTTGCACTTTTCTGTATGTTTCACAGATACTACAGTTTTTACAAATTACAGTTGTGTGCCAACCTTGCACCAAGAAAGTCTATCAACACCACTTTCCTTTTTTTTTTTTTTTTTTTGGCAGTGTTTGGTAGGGGCTGGGTTTGAACCCACCACCTCTGGCATATGGGGCCAGCGCCCTACTCCTCTGAGCTATGGGCGCTGCCCTATCAACACCATTTTTCCAGCAGCATGTGCTCACTTCATGTCTCTGGATCACAGTTTGGTAATTCCCACAATATTTCAAACTCTTTCCTTATTGGAGCTGTTACAGGGATCTGTGATCAGTGATCTTTGATGTTGTCATTGTCTTCAGGTGCCACCACAATGCCCATATATGACA